GTAGAGCCATTGTTTGTGACATCTATTTCACAGAGCAATTGATAGATTGTACACCTGTCCATGCATACATGTGGATATTACTTGAAATAGTTATTATACTCAGATTATACAGTGTCTTTATTAAGACAATACAACATTAAATATATTATGGATTTCATTATGTATTTCAAATACTTTAACACTGTGTGCAATGGGCTTGTATATACTTTATTCCATCATTGTATATGTGTTTATATTTATTATTATTATTATTATTATTGTCATTCTGCATTTTGTATAAGTGAAATAAGAAGTCATAATCTGAACGCGAATTTTTGTTAATTGGTGAAATGATGGCATTCTGGTGTAGTTAATACACTGAGGCAAGAATATCCACGTTGTCAGGCATTAATTAGACGAAATACGTGACCCGTATAGATTGAATTTGCTTGTGCATTTCAGTGACCTATTTTGAACATCTATTATTTTGAATTTGGTCAGGCAAATGATAGTGGTATATTAGTCAATGGATAAAATAAAAAAAACAACAAGATTTATACCATTACCATATTATATACACTACTGCGATTATTTTCTTTATAGTGATTTTTAATACTTGTGTTATTATATTGGAGATGGGCTTCTATGGAGCAAATACGGTATTTAGATGAATAAAATACCATTCATCTAATTACACCTAAATACTCCATACTAAGTCATTATGTTCAGTTCTAGTGGTAAATTGGGTTGAATAATATTACATTTACATGTTACCTGTATAGACTTTATTACATTATTAAGTTCTATTAATTCTAGTCATGAAGAAATGTGTGTATGTTTTTTTTAATAACTGAAGTTATTGAGCAATTGTGGTATAGCAGTTAAATTAATCGGCAAACCTACTTTCATAGGTCAAAATTATTTACATGTGTACAAATTTGATGTTATTTAATTGCTACACATTTTAGAAATTCTCAAACATAAAAATCACCTATTAATTATTCAGCACATTTTCAATAAACACAAACAAAATTTCAACGGAAAAAAAAAACATAGTCAAATATTGTATGTAATTGCTATCACTAACTGCACGCCACTAACCATGAAAATAATATTTTAATTCAAAATAAGTGAAGTTATAGCTTTTGAAATTACAAAAAAGGATACAATATTGAAAATATGCAAATACAATATTGACAAATATGCAAAAATGATGTGTAAGCTTTAGGGTCACGTTGAATGCTTATAGAAAATGAATACTAATTTATGCAAATCTCTCACTCACACACAACATACAATTAACACCATATTTTAAAGGAGATTATACGACGCTGGATAGATTATTTCCCAAAGTACAAAGGGAAATTCAGTTGTGATCAATTGCTACAGTGGCAAAGTCACTAAAATGTTCTCTACTGTTATGTGATGTACATGATCCAAAAATTAAGTAAAATTGCATATAGGTGTGAGGTGACTGTAACACAAATGCTAGGTGCACAATTCGTAAATAATATGTGTCTACTAATAGTGTAGTGATGTATGATGGGTAAACAGAAAGTGCTACATAAAGTTCAGGATTTCTGCTTTCACTAATGACGTGCAAGTTACAGACTCCCAATAATCTAAAGATATTTATGAATGAAATCCAAATTTATCAATAGTATTTTAATCTATAAAATAATTCATTCTAAACATATTCCAAAAAGACTATAAAGAACTGTGGAAAAAATTATAGACTTTTGCAGACTTGGGATGGAGAATAATTTTTTGAATAAAGAAATACTATAGATTATACTCGTGCGAGGTGACAGTGAATTTTCAAATGAATAAATAATGATACATATACTATTTTTATAATGCTGTAAAAAATAACCAGAATGAGGATGGTTAAAATAAATTATAACCACTTTTCAAAAAGTCTACAAAAAGTATCACTATATAAACAAGCCATGAATGCACAGTCCCCGTTAGTTATTTAATTTGAGATACATAGTTTTGTTTATAGTAATATAGTTTTAACATAAACATGTCAGAGATATAGATCCAGAAGCTGATGCTTAATTATGATGCTTTTTAATTTTAAAATTATTGACATTCAGTCATCTTGTATCTGATCATCAAACGAGTACTTGTTTATAATGATATATATTGGTCGGCCATTTTGAATCGGATTGTCAAACCAATAAATATGTATACATGATCTATAATGAATATATGTAATTTGAACCTAATCAGTCAAAGCATAGCAGTAATATTGCTCTTGAAACGCATTCATTAAAACAAAATGACTGCCAGTCGGCCATTTTAAATCCGATCTGAAAAAACAAAGTGACGTTTATCAAGGACCCAAAATTTCCAATGTTTATACCAAGTTTGAACACAATCCAGTTATTTTTTCGTAGTGGCCAGGTTTTTTTCCAGTCATACATGTTATAGCTTATGTCAATCACCATGCCAATTCCATTACACGCCCTCATTTCGTTGTGATCTGCACTGCATTATATACAAAATATACGTTTTTCGTCTTTTATTGTATTTTACCCACAGAAATGTCTTTGACCAATGCAGTTAAAATTTTCTCCCACTCTGGCCACTATCTTGATTGGTACTCCGTGGCCGTCATGGCTCGGATTCGGCAACAGTCTGAAAGGACACTGATTCCCACGCATTTTCAACATCAGATGCGAATCCCCAGTAACATTATCGTCTGACATTATCGTATAGTCGCCTTCAATTGTACCATTCTGTTGCAAACATCGTATTTATCTCTACTATAACTTGGAAAATATGCAGCGATCGTAAGACATCCTTCCCACGAAAATAAAAATATGGCGGATAATAACATGCGCATGTGCAAAGTTTTGAATTGTGGGTAGATAAAACCCAAACAAGAGCTTGCGTGCCGTAAAGTCTGTTTTACGTTTTGTCGTCAGCCAGCTTTCTTTCATGACATCTGGCACCCAACATATTATGTTTAATAGCCATTTACTAAATTGAATCGCCATAGCCTGGCTACTGAAACAATCAGTAGATTATTGAACCTACGCCATTTTATTTATACACATCGACTGTACGATTGATTCAAAACTGAAATATTCTGTGTATCCTTCTCAACATGGTATTCTATGTTCGAGTCAAATGGTCACGTTAATCTCAATGAATTTACAATTAATTACCTCGAATTCTAACAAATAATTAGTTATTTCACTCGGCCGCATCGTAGATGAATTTCTATGTAAACAAAAATTTAAATGACCAAACACTTTTTAAATCTTAAAATAAATACTCACCCATCATATAAATATGCAACCTTTTTCGTTTCATCTAAAGCAACACGGTTCAGTCCAGAAACTCCTGCCCATACATTGGTAAGCTGGTCACAGCTAAACCGCTGTAGCTTTTTACAAGCAAACACTGTTTTCCCCAGAGAATTAGGATTAATATATTCACATCTATTTTCCCATACTCCTTCGTTTATGAGAGAACAACGGGTTTCCTCCGTATTTTTACCATCGCTGTAGTTGGCTGCGAATCCGAGAAGTTCCTCCTTCGTTTTCATAATATCTTTAATGTAAGTGATGGCCTCTCTTGTAAATGTCAGTGCAATGTCTATTTTTGCTTCACCGGACCAGGCCGCATAGAAATATACATCGTACGTGCCGTTGCCATGATCAAAAACACGACCAGCCGTACTCTTTCCTTGGCCAACATTCGTCATGCCAGCAGTGAAGAAGTCACCTCCTCTGTTTCGTTTACGGCCATTCTCATCGATGGTTTCGATACTAACACAAATATATGTGCCTTTGCGAATATTGTTTTTTGCAGTCTGTAATACAACCCTAAACAAGAAAAGGGGGAAAGTTGTAAACTGCTGAACAAAGATTTATTTGCATATTCATGCTGTTCATCTCACCATTTTGCAATCTTTATTTAGGATGGGAGACATTTAAAACTTACAAATTTTGTCACAATTTTATTACTTTAGTTTGTCATACACGTTCTTAACGTAATAGGCAATTTACTATCATAAATGTAACTATGTATGGCACGTGGTTTCTGAGATTTCTCTACATTCTTTGAAAATTAAAAGAAAAACATATATTCAACATTGCATCACATGCGGTGACAGCAAGAAGTTGTTTGCCTTTTTATTTTTATTTGGTTGTAGTAGATAATCTCACCAAGCTAGTTAGTCCCTACTAAAGTCACTACGGAGAATCACAAACTTGGGGCGTTGGCACTTGACAGTCACGCAGGTTTCTGACTGCTTAGCAACCGGGTGTTAGAATATTATTCGTTTCTCTCAAATTTGCTCAGTCCGGATACCTGTCAATGACGGTAATGGTTTCATTGAGGTAATTTCGCTGTCGATATCTGTGATTCAGGATTCGGCATTCCCAATCGTTTGCAATAAAATAAGCAATCAACAGACTGTATTCCATATGAAATATTTTGGTTATAGTGCGAGACAGACTCGTTTGTTATAGCGATGGTCAGGGTGGGACAATTCTGTTGTGGCGTTGCCAAAAAAACAGAAAGAGTGAAATATATGCATAATACATTATTCATGCCTGCAATGAAATATTACCCAGAACACACATAATAATTCTTGCCCGACCATGTTGTTTCGAGAACGTGCTTCCAACCTCATACTTTCATACCAGATGGCGCTGGGAGCTGTAATCAATCCCAGACGAACACACGCACTCAGATGTGCTGCCCAATGGGTAGTATATCTTTCTATTTGGCGTTTCAGAAAAAGCGCATTCTGCAGAGGGTATAATAATCACTTGTAACAATGCAATACCAATTATATTTAATGAAATATTTACACAAATGGTTATCTTAATTTCAGTGTACAAAAGTATATAAAGTAAAGTTTTGGAAAGATAAATATACTGAAATTATACATTAGAATACAGATCTAAGAAAGAAAATTCTTTTCAAAAGAAACAATGTTATCATACTAGTACCTGGTTTCATTAACAGACGTTGGTTTCAGCTCTCCACTACCATAATCGAACGGCATTTTATATACTTTCTTGTCTTCATTATAACTGTTTCTATGAATCCATTCCAACTCATCAACTACGTTTATCCATTCCATTCCAAATGGGTCATACTTTTTGTAAGGATATAAATCCACAGTGTTATTCTTCAAAGCTTTTTCTACTTCGACAATTGTTTCCACCTCTCCATTTTTTTCCATTTTAACTTGCTTTGGTGATTCGCCGGTAGGACCATTGACCTGTGTTTTACTGGTGTCACCACTACTTGTCACTGTTGTTGGCTCACTACCGTTGTTACGAGGACGGAGGGGCGTAAGGTCATCAGATATTGATGCATTAGGCTTTGTCTGTTTTAGCTTCTCTGGAACTATGACTGTATGAGATCGTATTGAAGACACATCTTTAATTGATTTTGATGACATATCTCCAAGCAGTTCCTGTGGGGGAGTATTAAATACGTTACTACATGTCAGCCACCTCGATCTGCCACTTTCTCAATTGTCACAATCTGTCGTTCCAATGCAACTTCTTAGTTGTCGATAATAATGTGTATTTTTGTATACCCTTTTTTCTCGTGACCCTTGTTGTATTTAATAAGTAAATACGTGATGATATGCGTGA